ATCTTGACCCCATGTTTATCCACCCCAGTTTATTCATAGGGGGGTGTTCCCCTCCAAAAGTGTTCTGATTCACAACTAAACCCAGATTGACACATGAATAAACTGGGGTTGACTAATGCGAGGTTAACAGTAACGGCCACGAGTGCATCTACGCCCAACAGCTATGGTGGCAATGCGGAACCGCGAGGAAATTCGGTGGCTTTACCAAGCTCCTTCAACTAACCAAGGGTCCGCGAAAATTTCCGGGCCCACTTGTCCTCAAACCAGATGGGCCGATTTCTGAAGCAAGCCCAACGAGGTTTCCCGAAGGAAACAACCTATTGTTCAAATTGCGCTCTAGCCCGGAAGCATCAACCATTTGACTGTCGTTGTTTTCTGGCAATTGTACCCTTTTCACCTTTTTCAGGAAACAGGAAAACCACAACTTTGAAGGTCCCCATATCCGCCGACATTGCTCGGCGTGTCGGATACTTACTAGAGGATAGAGGATAACCCCCCCCCTAACCCCCCCCCGCCCGACGTCTATTACGTAGGTTTTTGGGGGGGAGGGGGGGGGGTCCCCCACGTACCGCGCGGCAATTTGATGACGTTCCACTAAACGTAGTCTTCGGGGAGCCGGTGTCGCAAAACAGGGGTCCCAGGCTCGATTCCCCCTGCCGGCTTTTTTGCTGGCTTGGGCTTCCTGCATCCTTTTGCCGAAAATCTGGAAAAACTCAATGTTTTTGGACGTCCTCTTTGCGAAAACGCTGGAAAAACCGTGTTTTTTTTGCGGGAAATACTGGGGAGCAAAGGGGAAGTGCAAGGATACATACATACATACATACATACATACATTATACATACATTACATACACACATACATTGACATTACATGCACATACATACATACATACATACATGCATGCATTACATATGCATACATGCACACATACATACATACATACATACATTATACACATTACATACATACATACATACATACATACATACATACATACATACATACATACATACATACATACATACATACATACATACATACATACATACATACATACATACATACATACATACATACATACATACATACATACATACATACATACATACATACATACATACATACATACATACATACATACATACATACATACATACATACATACATACATACATACATACATACATACATACATACATACATACATACATACATACATACATACATACATACATACATACATACATACATACATACATACATACATACATACATACATACATACATACATACATACATACATACATACATACATACATACATACATAATTACATACATACATACATACATACATACATACATACATACATACATACATACATACATACATACATACATACATACATACATACATACATACATACATACATACATACATACATACATACATACATACATACATACATACATACATACATACATACATACATACATACATACATACATACATACATACATACATACATACATACATACATACATACATACATACATACATACATACATACATACATACATACATACATACATACATACATACATACATACATACATACATACATACATACATACATACATACATACATACATACATACATACATACATACATACATACATACATACATACATACATACATACATACATACATACATACATACATACATACATACATACATACATACATACATACATACATACATACATACATACATACATACATACATACATACATACATACATACATACATACATACATACATACATACATACATACATACATACATACATTACATACATACATACATACATACATACATACATACATACATACATACATACATACATACATACATACATACATACATACATTACATACATACATATGCATTACATACATACATACATACATACATACATACATTACATACACATATACATACATACATACATACATACATACATACATACATACATACATACACATACATACATACATACACATACATACATACATACATACATACATACATACATACATACATACATACATACATACACATACATATACATACATACATACATACATACATACATACATACATACATACATACATACATACATACATTACATTACATTACATTACATTACATTACATTACATTACATTACATTACATTACATTACATTACATTACATTACATTACATTACATTACATTACATTACATTACATTACATTACATTACATTACATTACATTACATTACATTACATTACATTACATTACATTACATACATACATACATACATACATACATACATATATACATACATTACATACATACATACACATACATACATACATACATACATACATACATACATACATACATACATACATACATACATACATACATACATACATACATACATACATACATACATACATACACATACATTACATTACATTACATACATACATACATACATACATACATACATACATACATACATACATACATACATACATACATACATACATACATACATACATACATACATACATTACATACATACATACATACATACATACATACATACATACATACATACATACATACATACATACATACATACATACATACATACATACATACATACATACATACATACATACATACATACATACATACATACATACATACATACATACATACATACATACATACATACATACATACATACATACATACATACATACATACATACATACATACATACATACATACATACATTACATACATACGTACATACATACATGCATACATACATACATTACATTACATTACATTACATTACATTACATTACATTACATTACATTACATTACATTACATACATACATACATATATGCATGCATGCATGCATGCATACATACATACATACATACATACATACATACATACATACATACATACATACATACATACATACATACATACATACATACATACATACATACATACATACATACATACATACATACATACATACATACATACATACATACATACATACATACATACATACATACATACATACATACATACATACATACATACATACATACATACATACATACATACATACATACATACATACATACATACATACATACATACATACATACATACATACATACATACATACATATGTACATGCATGCATACATACGAGAGAGGGAGAGTGGGGAGAGAGAGGCTTGGGGGGATGGGGAGG